TCATGTTTAAGGAGCAGTTTGTTTTCCAGTAAAGGCCTTTGTGTATCATTGGGCTGGCAGTGAAGAGAGGCAGCTTAAAAAAAATTAACTGCTCATTGAAAGAAATAATTGAGAAACTAGTTTTAGTGAAACTATTAGTTTAGTGGAGCTAAGTGATACCTGTTTAGTTGTCCAGTATAGTCAGCTGTGATCTGATAAGTATATTTCTGTAAAGTGTTTTAAAAACTCATCAGTTTATTTTTGTATGCTGTGTTTGCTTGGCTATTTTACTTTTGATATAAGTAAATTTATAATATAGTGGATGATTGTAAGAAATTGCTGCTGAGGAGATGGAAGCAAATTTGAGCAGTAAGTTGGTAAACCTTGTGACAATATAGTATTTAAAATTACGTATTTGTGTACATGTTTAACTCAAACTTTGTTTTACTATGCAAGAGGTCCTCCTGTACTTCTTAGCAGTAGGGTTAAGAAGTCTTGTGTTTTAAAAAATGGAAACCCAAAAAACAACACCTAGATCCCAAAAAACTTGTTTCCTGAATGTATCTGCATAATGCATAATAATTGTGTATGTTTTATTGTGTTTCAACCAAGAAATTTTCATGTCTTTATGTCCTTATGCCATTTTAAGCAGAGAACTTTTTCAATAGAAAGGAGAGAAACTTTATAACAAAATCTAAAAAGCTTTAATTTTTGAACTGCTTTAGGGGAGAGCCACAGGTACATAGAACTTTCTAAACACTGCAGCCAGGCGGTTTGAAATTGGCATTAGCTGCAGTGAGTTTCTGGGAGATGCAGGAGAAAAATTTCTCTAGTTCCTTCCAGATCCGTGGACTAGTGTTGTTTTGGGTGGTGTTTGGTTTGTTTTTTTTTTTCCTTTTTCTTTTTTTTTCTTGGTTAAGACTGTGTGTACATTCCAGTGCCTAGGCTGGGCAAGAGTATCTCCGATGATGCTTTGTACTGGCTAGTCTGATGGTCCTACGTGTTTGAAATAGTTGGCCTACCACATCTTGCAGTCTTCTGTAAAGGGGACTTAGTGGAAATTTTAGTCCATGTATTTTTGTTGCTGTGTTCTTGCAAGTCTGCTTTGGGATGGTTGTAGGAAAAAATCATCACATGGACAGCCCCAAAGAAAGTAATTTGTCCATTTTCAGTCAGGCTGCGTTTTCATAACACTCCAAGTGCTTTTTGCGATATAATGGCGTGGTACCTCAGCGGTTTTCTAGAAGAGCTGTGTCTGAGTTCCAAGTCCTCTTGGAGACGTGTGTGCCCTTTTCTGCACAGCTGCTCTCTGAAGAGTGATTTGAATGTCCCAAGCAAAGCCAGTGTTTTGGATTTGTTTATTCTTAAGGACTTGTTCCTAAAGTCATGGATTTCTTTAATAACAGCTTCATGAAAATATTTAGGTTAGATGCAAATTGTAGCAGCCTTAAACCTAATTTGCAGTGTATTCTGCAAAGTCATCTTATTTTTCCCTTCCTCCCCCCCTCAAAGCAAAGAAAAACTCTTGCATTGTGATTGTTGTGCCTGAAACCACAGAGCTGCTTGTGCAGAGAAGTCCTCTGGTAATACCAAGCATGGTGACACCTCTGTAAGTCCAGCAGAGATCCGCCAGCAGTTGGTACAACGGATATGACGGTTTCTGGGTTGGTAAAAGGAAAAATTATCTACTTCCAGCAGTTGCAAGGCCAGTGTCTGCATGGGTAATAAAAAGAAACTTCCACTGTGTTCTGCCAAGAGGGCTTTCTGTATAAAGCAGCCAGAACGATCCACTTCTCTTAATTAGCGATGGGAACGCTTACAAAAAAGGCTTAGATGCTAATAGCTGCGAAGGAAGCTAGGTTATGAATTTAAGGCACACCAGTACTGCCTCTGGACATGTTAGTGTTTGTGGTGCAAATAACATGGCTCCTTCTGCTTAGCTTTTAGTGTGGGGTACGATTGCCCACAAAGTAGCAGATGTACCACAACATCTAGGTTTTTCTGTTTTTTAGTAGTTACTTCCCAATGTGAGGGTGGGATTATGGGTTCACTCCAGTATGAACCCCTTGTCCGGATCCAGCTGCTCATCTTTTTTTTTTTTTTTCCTTTTGCGCTGGCAGTAGTAGTAAGCTGAACTGGAGAACTGATCAGACTAAAGAAGTTATTTATGCTAATCTTTATTATAGCTGCTGGTGTAGGGAGGGGGGGGATCAGGCGTGAGTGGGTGGAATCGTCCCTCTTGGCAGTGTCATGGATTTATGCTAGACTAGATCTTGTATCTACAGTTTATGATTATGAGTTATCTCAAACCACATTTAATGGGCTGCTTTTTTCACAGGAAAAGCTTGCGTAAAACTCTTTGGTACTTGTGGTAGCTCAAGGGCTTACAAATACCTTTTTTTAATGCCCTGTGAAAATTACATGGAAAGTCATCGAGTTAATGGAATTTTCACTTTTGAAGTTTCCCAGACTTTAATCTAGGTGTCATATCTGAAAAGCCTGCCTCCAGGTATTGGGTAAGAATTTTGCGATGTCCAGAAAAAGGGCTTTACATGGAAAACGGCATCTGTCATTAGAATATGCGTTTGTCTGTTTCTTACTGTCTCATGACTGCTGGAATGCCTGAATTCCTCAAAGCCCATAAATTTTCCTAAACCATTACAGTAAATTGACTTTGTACGTATGGACTTTTGTCTTCAGTGTTTGTTTAATCTTAATAAATTAATAACCTATGTGTTTTTAAACATATTCATAACTACATTGACACTGCTAGCTTTATCTTTTAAATTTCTTTTTGGCTTTAATTTTGTGTGAGCTGCCTGTCCGTTTTCTCTCTCTCTGTGGAAGGATTTTTATCTTGTCTAGCTGTACTGATTGAGGTCCTCTTTGGTTGTGGCAAACTGATCTTTGACCTGGGGAAGCAAACAAATCTACTTCTAAAAATATGATCTTTGGGATCTGTCCCAGTTATAAAATGTTTTTTTTTTTTTTTCCAGCGGGGCATTGTCTGACCACGTAACAGTGCCAATTCCTGCAAATGTTGCTCAACATATGAAGAGCTTATCGTCTAATGTTTAAACAAATGTAATAGCATCATAAATAAAATTTATTCTGTAGAAAAAATGTCTTCTTGCATGCTAGGATAAAGTTCCATAAAGGAGAAAAGCTATACAGTGTTATCTGATTTTATCTGCCTTCACGTCCCTTAAGTATTTAATGTAAGATACATATCTCCTTCAAGTTTAGCAGGTTTTTTTTTTCTTTTCAGATAGTAAAAGGTATTAAGAAATTCATAAATATCCTTTCGCCTTGCCTGTGGCATGGTATAGGAGGCTACAGGTATGATTCTTCTCAAAACAATTGTATTTTGGTTTCTGGTGGTGACTTAGCTTTGAGACTGGCAACTTTTGTTATAAATCTGTGTCTCGTCAGTTCCCAAATTCTGCCCTTTGGTTTGGTTGGTTCTTTTTGTCCCTCTTGTATTAAAGATGGGGGTAGGTTTTCTCTTGGAGTTGAGCATCTTCATGCTGCAAACCAGATGTGCTTAGTGGGATGTTTAATTATGCAGACCAATGGATGGATGTTTCCTATCTTGATGGGGTTAGAGCAAGAGGGTAGTGTGTGTCCATATGCTGTTCAAACGTGTTTCCCCCACTGGGGATGTGTAAATAAACCAGCCGCAGGCCTGGGCTGGCACAGGCATTGCTGTGTTAATAAATGCCATGTGGTGATGGAAACTAGTTAAAGGGATAGGGAACCTGGGTTTTGTTCCTATGCCGTGTAGAAGTCATGACATGTCCCTTAAAAAGCCTGCAGATGGACAGCACTAGACCAGCTTTCTAAAATGTACGTATTTTACAGGGCCACTCTGGTGTAGCTCCTTGCTGTACCCCTTGTCATGGTGCGGGACTACTTGGATACTGTTGCTAGTGTGGTGATTTTGGTCCGCCCAATGTGGAAAGAGCGAGCTAATTTCTCTGTCTGTTAATGCTCAACCT